CTAACACTCCTGTTAGCTGGAGAATTGAAAGTGCCCATTTCATTAAGATACAGAATGCAGCGAAACGTGTATGATGAACAGAGCCTCAGCGCAAACGGATACACCTGTATCTGGGGAAAGTATACTGTGGAAAGACTCCAGGCTCCGCTGAAAGCTCCTCACATAAAGCAACATGCTGTGCTTGCATTACCCCTCCCCTTTCTAAAAAAGTTCACAAATACAATATTTGTTCAAGAGCAGGTGGTGCTCCGAACTCATGAATGCATCTCTAATCTACCTCAGAATAAGCCAGGCACTTTTGACACCAGATATGGAGCTCGCGTAACAGTGGAGGGTGATTGATGGCATCATACAGAGACAGCCAACTAGTCAGTGTTGTGTGGGAGGACTTCATTAAGTGCAGACTGAATTCCTGTATTCATGTAGACATACAAATCCATAGTTCTTTGAGCTTTTCCCCCCACTTAAAGGTGTACATCATAGGCACATCATTATGGATGTTTGCTTTTCAAGATGAATGCTGCATGGGATAAATTATTCTTTTCCCAAATACACAATGTAAATCACATGTTGCTTCAACCATTATTATATTCTGAAGCCAAACAACTTCAAAGCATCAGAAACAAATTGTCATTTTGCACACACAGAAAAGCTGTTATGTCACTTATGATGGATCTTGGGAAGCATGTGGCCACTGTTGGCTATTTCTCAAACAAATATTGCACTGAACCAAGTCAAACAAGAAAAATGTTCAACCGTGAAGTACTGACCTGCATTTATTGTGTATGACAGTATAACTCAGCTGGTTTCACTTTGCCTCTTGACCAGAATGTGGTAGGTTCAAGCCCTACATTGGAACTTGAGGTTAGAATCTCCATTGGAGCACTGGGAATATTGTTGGATTGGAGGAGATGACATCCTTCAGATGAGATTTTAAACTGTACTCTGTTTGCCTGTTCAATATGGCTGTTCAAAATCACATGATGCTATTGAAAGGGAGTTTGTCCTGGCAAACAATCTTCTAGTTTAATTGCTCATTCACCTCATGGCTGTTTGTGGGACACCACACTTAACAAAAAGTGTAGTGCGTCAATGTGATAAAATGCCAGTTAATTCTTTGTAAAATGCAGCATTTTGATTTAAAAGCTACATAATGATTGTTGGATCTGTGGTGAGAAATGAAGCGCAAGGCGATAATAATAATTATCACTTTATTTCACATTTTTCATCTGAAAAAGTAGAAATATGTGTAGGTCAATCAACTGTGTGCTTCAGTGAAAGGACAATTACTTAATTTGTTGAAGTTAGGTAAGTTCTGATAAAGATGAACAGACATTTCCACTTACTAAATTTCAATCCAAAGCAGTGCCTGCAATCTTGCCTCTTAACTCAAAATCATTATTATAGTTTTAATAAGCAGTATTAACTGTACAAATTTATTTCAAGAAGTACATGGGGGGTATTGTGAGTGCAAATAAGACAACAAACTTCTGAAGTACTTCCATTTGCTATTTTCTACTATGGTTTAATTTTGAAGTAAATGGCCACTGTCTGTTATTTGATTCATTCAGAGCATAGGGCAAAAGAGCTTTGGGGATCTAGGTTATGGGATGTGACTCACATTGATCCACTGGAACTCTGCTTGGATGTGAACTTCTGAAAGTCTCTACAGAATGGTTGCACGGAATACTGCTTCTAGTCAACCTGGTATCCCACAAAACAGAATTAATGATCCATCTTCTATGGCTGAGAATTCCAATGGGATTTTTGAAACCAGGTCAACCTAATGTGCTGTAGTAAAGTGGTGGGTGATGGGGAGGAGAGAGGGGAAGAAAGGAAGAAGTGTTCACACCTGTGTCCATCTACATTAACTATCACCAGTTCTCATTTTCATAATACTTATTGTAGTTTTCACTCCCTGTACTTTATAAGATTAGCAGTGAGGTAAGTTTAAACCATAACCTTTCAATTGGTAAAACCCATTTACCTTTTTGTCTATTTGGAATTGAACCAGGATATTTTGATAATTATCTGACCGATCTCTTGAACTTTTTGATAATGTGCAAAAATAATGTGAAGAAGGGGATGGTAATTGCATACAACCTACTTTTTAAAACAAAATTTCAAACACTGTTTTATTTTCTGAATTTCTTTATCCAGGTAGACTGAATCTAAATGCAATAACAAATAGAAAAGGTGTGCAGCTTTTGTCCATCTTTACACTTTTGAGATCCTTATTCTCAATGCGATTTCCTATGCAATATCCATTCACAGAGTTTAACGGGAGAACCACATACCTTCTTGTTCATTATTGCCAGCAGACATGAGTATTCCTATTAAATAGGATGTATACTGTACAGATATTTTTGAAAATGATTGTGTAATTTATACAAATTGTTACAAATTTACAGGGAAGTGGCTAAAAAGAGAATTAATATGTACATACATTAATTACTTTTATTAAGTAGCAGAAATAATAAAACAACTAAAATACTCGTCCGACAAGCTATTCCAATACATTTCAGTCCTTACAAATATACTTATACACTTTTATTCATCAGATTTTTTTGTCACTAAAAGCAACAGGAAAACATTCATTAACATTACTGGCTGTAAAATGTACACTTACAGCTTGCAGCCCCAGATGGCGATTTACTGTCTTTAAGAGACCCCATTCATGATTTTCAAATATACCAACCATTTAGTTCCCATAAAAGTATATATGCATAGTAACAAATTAAAATAGCAAAACACTAAAATGATAGATGTATTGCATTAAATGCAAAGTTTGAAAAGTTGTACTATTAAGGGGTTTAAATCAATTCCTCTTAGCAAGTCTGTGTAAAACTACTAATGCTCACTACTTTGGAGGCCAAATTGAGTTTATTTCGAAGTTACATATGGGTAATTTTGGCTACATCAACCCAATTTTTAGCAATCTGATAATCTATCATTATGCAGAGGAAATCAAAAGTACCTTTCAAAACTAATTAACATCATCTGTACAGAGGAAGACTGACCATATTGTAACCAGATGAAGGCACAATTAGTCATAAATATTTTTCACTCACAAGATAATGTTAACATATCTATTAAATGCAATTGAAGGGTGATAAATGCTTAATAATTTCCTAAAAAGCATTATGCTTGGATCCAAGCTCCTGTAGAGTTGAAATGATCGGGAATGGCACATTAGAAATGATAAAATCAAGACCTTAAACAAATTAGTTTATCTAAATTTCACCAAAATTACTGTATTCATTTTAAAATGGTCCTAAATTGACATTTATAATGACTGGTGCTTTATTTAATTTCCCCAAATTATAAGGCAATGAGTGTTCTTTAAAAGATATTTAAGGATCGCATGAAACAAAAAATCTTGTTAACACACAATCTTGTTAATTGATTGAACCACAGCAAAAGAATCAGGAGGAAATGATAAACATGCTAACCTTTTGCCAATAATTGTCGCTCGCAGCCAGGCTTCTGCTGGCACAGTTGGTAGGATGCCTGACCCTCAACCAGAAAAGCCACAGGTGTCATTCCCAGTGCTGCCTTTCTCTTAAACTCAGTTGCCATTGTTGGGAGTAAACTGCAGCCAAGTGTCTTCAGTTTTGTTTGCTTTGGAAGTCTAACGTAATTGACTTGACAACTTCTCAAACTTGGCTTTTAATCCACATGGGTACAGTAAGTCTGACTAGAGGCCTAATAATCCTTAGCTACAGTTAACAAGACATACAGCTCATCTCTTATAAGTAGAAAAAATGTTTTTGTTTTACGTAAAGCAAGAGACATAAAGAGTACAAAAGCACAGCTTTTGTCATTTTGGCAATATTGCAATTTTACAAACATTTGCATAGAATGTGTAAGAAAATAGTTTTCTTTATCATTCAGATTAAATTTTTCATACATAAAGAAAATGTACTTTAATGAGATCAGTAAAGAAAGAACAGAAAATGGCTAGCAGGCCTGGCATTAAAACAGAAAATAATATATGTAATGTCCTCTAGGGATGAGCACAATCCAAGACTGAAATCTGGGTTTATCTGAACCTAAGAGGTTCAGTAGAACCAGGCCAAACCGAACTGTTCTAAGTTCGGGGAGCACCACATTCATTTTACCACTGAGTCAATAGAGGAAACAGCAAATCTAGTAGTTCAGATATGGCCTTGATTTGGATTAGCCCAAATATACTAGGAAAGTCTGGTCAAGGAACATGTTCTGGGCTTTTTCACTACATTTAATTTGTGGATGTTCACTCATCCCTAATTCCTTCTTCAGAATTTCTTTTCGCTTTCCTACTAGTTAGTAGCAGTTGCACTGTGCAGTGTTAGAATTCACATCACATGTACAATTCTTTGGTTTGTACCACATCACAAAAAAATTGGTAATGCAAAAAACAATAGTGTCACCAACAGTGCTGTGAGAGGTCCTCGTAGAAGGTATGGTTGGCATGTTTGTTTTTCACAGTTGAAAAAAAGGCAGAAGAGAAGGAAAAATGTTACTACTGCTTTCCAAATGAATGACATGCAAACACCACAATACATTGAAATGCTCCATTAAAACTATTGAACGATTCCTTCGAATTTCCTTTTGCTACTGAATGACAAAACCAATGTTTGTTTAAGTGTTTGAAAAGGGAACCAAAGTTCTGAGAAACGACTTGTTACGTTATTTGTGGTATTAATTATTCAGTCCTTTCATAACCAGGTCCTGCTAACATTTAAAAAAAACTATGTGCTTTACTTGGATTAGCAAAGGCAACTGTGTATTTCTCCCCTTTCTGAGAAAGGATGGTATCCAGCTTGTCCTGGTGCAGGCATATCTCTTCACTGACTGGTCAGTTCCCATACAGAAGGCAGCCGTGTACTACTGTACTGTGGAAGCAGTGGCTTTGTAACATCATTGTGGTTCCTGATTCACCATGAGAGTCAAAACAGATGCCAAGGGACAGTACCGAAAAGGCTTTTCTGGTGGTAGAGTGCTCAGCGCTCATGGATTTAAATCCGCAAACAAATGTTGCTGCTTGACTGGCATGTGGAACCTGCTTCCCCTGGAGACAGAAAGAGTTTGCCATTGGGGCAGACGCACACTTCATAGACAGTCTGATGTGGGGTTGAGGAAGTAGAGGCAGAGCCCTGTGGGATATTTCCTAGTCGGATTGTTTTTGCATTTAAAAATATCTGAGGAAAAGAAACAGAAAAAAAATGGTATCTAAATACTGTACCGGTAAACGGTAAGACAGCGCTTATGTTTGATCAGCCATGACAAGAAGCACACTCTTGTTTATTAAACTACTTAATTTGCACAACTTGTAATTTCTTCTTTTCATTCATGTTGTTCTACAAGATAATACACTGCAAACTACTGACACATCCCTGTGCATATATGTATACAATTTGACAACCTGTATGTTAGCTTCAAAGGTCTAAGATTAAACATGTAAAGTTGCATTACTCAAACTGCTGACAAACACAAATGACTTCTATTCTAGTTTGATTTACTGACCAGATTTTGTGGACAAATCACCATCGTCTCATATAATATTCCCCAATATGCCGTAGTATCTACAATGATATGTATTCTTTATAACACAATAAGAAACTGAGATGTAGAACTCATTCTCCCTAGAATATGTTTCTTATTAAAACATAATACAGAGAAACCTTGTTAGAACATGGTTGACAAGGTCTAATATCTCAGTAGTCTCTTTATAAACAATGAGTGAAATAGTAACTAACTTCTGGCTTCTTAGGACACTGCACTTTCTGTGCATAGAATTATTTGTATTCTCATGTCATGATGTCAGTGACACTTCCTGAATAGGACACAGCAACTGAGAAAAAGGAGCGGCCGGGTCGGTAGGGTTTAAGGCGTCCACAGAGGTAAGGATGGGGTGAGACTGTGAAGAGGTTTGAATGTGAACAGAATAATGTTAAATTCAATCCCCTGAGAAATGGGAAGCCAGTGGAGCAAAGCAAAGACGAGGCTGATAGTTTCATGGCGCCAAGTGTGAGAGAGGACACAGGCTTCAGATTTCTGGATAGTCTATAGCCAGGGTAAGGAAGAATTGGGGAGTCCGGTGAGTTAAGCCTGTCTGTGATGAAAGCATGAGGGAAGAGGTAGTGGCAGAGGTGGGCAAAGTTGACAGAGGTGAGGGAAAACTGAGCAGGTAAGAGTACAACTATGGGGTTTAAAGGACAGATGGGAGTCAAACAAGACGTGGAGGTTCTGCAGCAGCTCCGCAAGGTGGAGTGCACATCCAATGCAGGTTGATGCCTGAGGTGAGAGCGCCTGAAGAGGTAAGGCACTGGTGGGATCTTAGCAGAACTTTTTTCCGATGATATGAGGTGCTCAGCAGTCTACGTTAGCCCAGCGGAGGTGGCAAGCAGAGAAGTAGGGAACAAGCAAGTCAAAGAGATAGGGAGGCGCTAAGGTTGTGAAGGGATTACATGTGATACCAAGGAAGTCAAGTTGATCCATTCAGACACAGGGAGCCAACCAAGATCAGGATCATGTTGGAACTGACAATACACTAGACTCCACACAAGAGCTTACCTCCCCATCCGTAGACTGGAGCTGGAGATCTCGTCTACAGGTGGCCTTGATTTCCCCTTCATCAGCAGCAATATGCACTCCCTTTGGGGCTTCCATTGTCAGAGCCCGGGTCGGAGATTCTAGCCTGCAAATTCCATTTCGAAAACAAATCCATGATGTACAAAAAGGCCTGGTAATATCAGTGCAATTTAGTCACACCTCAAGGACTGCAAGAAAAGGATTCAATTGTCAAATTACACCATTGATTTCTTAGGTCGCTGTGAATAAAAAAAAAAGGGGTGATGTGCTTGCAGGCATTTTAATCAAACTGCGGATCAAAACATCAGTGTGTTGTTTTCCTTTCTGAGCAGGATTTAGATGAAACTGATATAAAAGAAATGTCTCAAGGAAGCTTCCCTGTCCCTCAATTTGCATTCTCTGTGCCTTACAGCAGATTTGGACAACTTCAAAAACACTGAAATGTGTATCACAACTTCTAAAATTATCCTTTAGGAGAACATTACAGATTATTATTATTTCAGATAAAAATGGAGGGGAATGCTGCACTTATTTTAAAAATTAAAAATAATTATTGCATTTGATATAATGACTTCCACATCCAAAGGACATCTGAAGGTAACTCACATAATTTATTGTAAAGTGTAGTAACTGTGTATTTGGTAGGCAAATATTGGGAGTTAATGTTCATGTGTCACACCAGAGCAAGAAGCACAGAGAGATCTTGTTTCCATTATTAAACATTTATTTGACAGAATGAACATTCCTGGCAAGTCAAGCTAAATCATACTTCTTTCACCCACAAATATAGTCAATTCACTTTACAGTATATTCTATGAAGAGCTTTGAGACGTCTAGAAGACATGAAAAGCACAATATCAAATGCAAGGATTATTATTATTATGATTATTATTATTATTTAGGCAATAATGAATAGGTGTGCACTTTTCTCAGGTGACCAAATCAGGGCTTTAAATCGCTGTTGTTCTGAAATTGAAGCACAAACTGTTGAGTACAACATTGTCAGTACATTAAAGCTCTTGAAGGGTATTCACATTTTTGGTTCTTTTCTGTTTCGTTCTGCAATTTATTTTTCGTTGCCCCTGTAATTATGTTCACAGGCTAAGATAATACCGGTCAAGCAGTTTATATTGAGATTTTAAACCATTCCGAGCTGACAAGGCCTATCTCTTATCCCTAGCAATAATTTATTTAAACTTTAGGGAATCAGTAGGAGTGTACAGTGGTGAGTTTATTAAACCAATAATAGTTTTGTCATGAGATGAAATCCCCACATATCCAGTCTTTGAATTCCATTACTTGCCCTGGATTGTATGCTTAACTTATGCTTTATTAAATACTTAAATGTAATAAAACATCCAATGATTAGAAATATACTTCACTGCATTTTCTGATCGCTCAGTTGGTAAAACGTATTGCATTTTAATGCAGATTTGATACCTGACCTGAGCTGAATCAATGTCAATAATGCTGAGGTGGAGGGTTACACTTGGCATAAGTACTCCTAGATTATGGAGAGCAGGCAAAATCAGACAGGGTTCCTGCTCCACACAGTCCAACAACCCTTCGGTGTTAATCACACCAAGCTTGCTTCCCCATGGTCATTGAAAACTCCCAGTCACATAAGCTGACTCTTCAATAATATAGGATTAAAAACCTAATACCTGATTTGGGGATACTGTGAATGCTCCAAGATCCACATGCACCAAAAAATGAGTTGTTATTTCTTTCAGCCTCAAATTCAGCACAATAGAAACCAGGTAATATTAAGTGAGTTTCCCTTTGTACAATGTAATGTGAAGTAAGCAACTTCCAATTACATGGTCACATGGTCAGATTACTAGTGTGAACCTTCGGTGTTCAATTAACTTTCCAAAATTTCAGACAGATTTATAATAGCAATGTGATAATCACTGCATCCGACACAGAGCTTATAAAGTCCAGAATGCCTCAAACCCCTTCAAAAAGCTTTCTGCAATGTTTGGTGACTATGCATTTTGCAGGCGAATGCACCTATAATCATGTCTCACAAACAGCTACGGAGTGAATGATAAATTTAGCTTGTTTATTAGCTTGGACATCGGGAATAACTCTTGTCAAATGGTATCATGGCACCATAAACAATGCAATGTTTAAAAAATATCAAATGCAAGGATTATTAATGCTTCACCAATACTGTTGGGTAGGAATTCTATGGGTGCACTTCGAGGACCATCTAAATTTCTTCATTTTTTTCTCTGTTTAAACAAATATTTAAAATGAACTGTTGTGGAGGAGGATGAAATCTCAAGCAGACAGTTTTTTCCCCTACCTGCTAGCTCTAAAAACTTCCATTGAGCTGAATGCTATGATTTAATAAGCCAGCAGAAAATTGTGCAATGGCTTTCTTTAATTCTTAAAAAGCTACAGCAGATTCTAATAATAATAATTGTACGAGCATTTTGTGCAACACCTTTCACAGCAGGAGAGTGTCTCAAAGCACTTCATGGGAAATACTGTAAGTGGAGTGAATGTGCATTTTGTAGGCAAATGCGGCAGCCAATTTGTACACAACAATGTCCCACAAACAACCATAAATTGATTGACCAATTTTATCTAGAGGATTGTTTGCTGGGCAGGTTGGATTTGGGTTTAATTGTCTCATCCAAAGGACAGCATACCAAACAATGCAACAACATCACTTCCTCCCACCCCTCCACCACTGCAAAGGAGTGTTACTCTAAATTATGTGAGAACTAAGACCCAATGCGAAGCTTGATCCTATGACTTCTGAAGAAGAGGCAAGAGTGCTACTACCTTAGCCATGCTGAGCCATTCAACATCACATTCTAACAGTGATATGTATACTTTAAGTTTGTGAAAATTGGTTCTCCTTTTGTAACTGGAAGTACATTGCAAATCTCTATTTCAGTATAGAATCTGCAGAACATCCAGAGTGCAGTTTCTTTGGGCCACTGGGAATTTTGACAGGATTCCTTATTAAAAAATTCCTTTAAGAAGTATCACAAGTTGGTCTCCCACATATTCGTTCATTCTCCCTGCTCTTCAAGCTCTCTCTTCTCATGCTCCCAGCCTTTCTCATAACAGATTAATATAAATAAATTACCCTTGGAGTTCAATATCAAGCACCATGGAAATGAAAACCACAGCAGAATCCAGAACACCTACACGCTGCAAATTGCTTGTTGCCAGAGGTATCATTCTATCGAATGCTTGCACTTAATTTAGCATTGATATTCCTCATTTTGGTTAAAAAAGTGCAAGTTTGTAGAACATTATAGATTTCACATTAGTTATCTTTTTATACAGCAAATTACATAATTGTATTCAATTAGTTTTTCCTGAGGAAGAATTAGGGAATGTTCCGACAAAATCAATTGTAAAAGATGGTTTCATATCATATGATGGTATCCTAGGGTAATGGGTTTCGAAAGAAGGAGCCCCATTCATCTCATTTATTGTATTATTCTATTTAAAAAAAACTCCCTCTCCCTCCCTCAAAAACCAGCGATACATTTAGAATGTAATATTAATTTTCTCATGCCTTCAGGGAACCCAGCAAAAAAACTGGTCTTGCATTTATTTGATAATAATGTGTCTTGAAACGTGCTGTGAAAATGCTTTGCACATGACTAATATTCTCAAAGAAACTTGTTTCTTCCTCTGAAAACAAATGATTAAATAATCCAATTAATAAACAAGGGAATATATTTAACGGGATTTTGATATGTTACTACAATAGGAATCATGTAACTCAGTGGTTAGAGCACTTGCCTTGCAAGCGAGACACCTGGGTTCAATTCCAGGCAGGGCAAAACCTTGGGCAATATTTCCTTACTCCACACGCCTAATAATAATCCCTCCAAAAAAAAAGAGTAAATAATAAATTGGTCATTTTCAATCCACGACTGTTGTGGGACACTGCTGTGTGCAATTGTTTGCCGTGTTTCACCCACAAATATACGGTCAATTCACTTTACAATATACTCTGTGAAGCTCTTTGAGATGCCGAGAAGACATGAAAAAGGGCTATATCAAATGCAAGGATTATTATTATTATTTCAAGCACCATAGATACCATCAATCAGCATGTTTAACCAATGCTAAAATGTTGGGCTGTAATTTTGAATTCTGACATATATCAAACTATTGGGTGCTGATTGACAGGCACTATGCCACCACTCATTCCTTGACCATTACTGACTAATGGAAAAAGGCACTGTGCTGCAGCTTAACTGATAAAATTGAACCATTTAGTTCACTTGTGCCCCATAAAGCTTTTAACCCTACTTAGAAACTGCTGGAAAGAAATTCCATCTGGGTCTAGACTTACTCTTTGTATGTGACATTTTAGAGCCTCCAGTATTTGGGAAATAGTTGAATTCTGGCTGAACTTTGAAATCAATTTTTTGTAGTTATTAAAACAAATTTCAGAAAAACGGCTTCAAAATTATGGGTGTTTTTAAGAATTTACCAAATTCTTGCTCTGAGATGCTATATAAATAAAGTAAGTCTGGACCCAAGTAAAATTTCTCCCCAAATGTGGATGAGCAGAATAATTTCAGCATTAACATAATAAAAATTACAATCCTTGTATTTTATATAGAGTCTTATAATATCATCAAGGTGTCTCAAAGTCTTCATAGGATTCGCTGTAAAGTGACTCGAATGTGCATTATAATAATATAATATACTTATATTTGACATTAGGATGTCTCAAGAGTTTCACAGAATATACTGTAAAGTGAATTGACCACATACTTTGTGGACGAAACGTGGCAGCCAATTGAGCACAGCAGTGTCCCACAAACAGTCGTAGATTCAGTGACCTATTCATTCATTCATTCATTCATTCATTCATTCATTCATTCATTCATTCATTCATTCATTCATTCATTCATTCATTCATTCATTCATTCATTCATTCATTCATTGATATATCTATCTATCTATCTATCTATCTATCTATCTATCTATCTATCTATCTATCTATCTATCTATCTATCTATCTATCTATCTATCTATCTATCTATCTATCTATTTATTTATTTATTTATTTATTTATTTATTTATTTATTGACTGACTGACTGACTGACTCATTGATT